GTGAGTGTGAGAGTGAGAGTGAGAGTGAGTGTGAGAGTGAGAGTGAGAGTGAGTGTGAGAGTGAGAGTGAGAGTGAGTGTGAGAGTGAGGATTAGCGTGTACTGACCCCTGCATTGTATTAGTGATGTGATCGCTCAGTCGTCCCTCATCCGGCCCCAGAACATGACCTAGTTATGCACTGGCTGGATGTCAGTTTTGGTCCTGTGTTTCTCTGTAGGCTGTGGAGCGGGTTTGGCACCGCTGGACGCTCATTACTCGTGTCTCTAGAGGACAGCAGACAGAAGAGCCTCTGAAAGCCCATGTTTTACAGCTGTGTGGGTGTTAATGACTTTCCCTGCCAGACAGTCTCGCTCGGGTTACGAGGGTCATAAGACCGGTTTTACGGTTTTATAAACACTGAGCATTGCTGTAGATTTCACTGAATAGAATCGGGTTTGTGTGTGTGAGTATTTATATATGATCATGGTTAATTAAAACTGTTAAAAAGTGCTTTCGGTCATTGAAATAAATCAGAAATAGAATGTACAGTAAATGTTAGATGTAAAAAATTAGAAACGAAGTACTGAAATGTCTACAACTAAACATTTTATAAAATTACATAAATAGAACAAAAGCTAAAAAACTATAAAACAAGCCATAAAAAATTAAATTAAAAACAAAATACAAACTAATAAAAACGAAAGAACATTACTAAAATTAAAATGAAAACTTGAAATGAAAAACCTGGTTCAAAACAGGATTATCATTAACTAAAACTTTTAAAAACATTTTAACTGGAGAAAAGAAAAAAAGAAACAAACAAACAAAAAGAAAACCTCGAAATTAGCTACAACTGAAACCCTAGTAGTAATATTAAATAAATTAATTAATTAAAAAACATAGAATTACTGAAAATTAAACTGAAATTATAAACATATCGACCCCTACCAGTAGTTGAGTGAAATATCACAAATGCTCTAAGATACAGTTCATCGCATTCTTCGAGTCAAAGTTTTTTGCACAGTTGCATATCATCTTAAATGTTGCTCCGTCAACTTAAGCATCTCAGCATGTTAATGTACAGTATCAAAATGAATATTCATTTACATTTGCTAAACAGGGTTATTAAAAGGTTGTTTTTTGTTTCACTTTTCCTTTTTTTAATCATGTAATACTCAAGGTAAAAACTAATGACTTTTTTTGCTTTTACATTATATATTCATAATTTCTTTGCTTCATCTAAGCTTCTCAGAGACTAGAGAACAGGATTACAGGACACACAGTGAGAATCACGCACACAGGCCAGTCTAGCCTGATGTTTTCAGTCTTTATGTATTGGATACAGCAAAAGATTCACTCGTGCTGAACAAACTCTGGCGTATAGAGTGGATTCTGACTGGAAAACATAGAACAAAATTGTGTTTATACATGCGACAAACACACCTGTGATTGGTTACATGTTAAAAACACATTGTAAATAGAAACTTTGCACAAATACGGTAGCCTTTAGCCGCCTGTCAGATGGTTCCGGAAGTATTTTTTTTTTTTATTATTATTATTATTATTTTTTCCACATAGGAATAAAAAAATTAAAAAAAGTGTTATAATCCATGAAGCAAACAAACCAGCTACGAGGAGAGTCACAACAGTACAAACTTTGGAAATCAGGGGGAAAAGACAAAGTACTTAACTGCTTTAGTGAATAAAAGAACTACAATCCAATTAACCATTGTGAATAACATAATTAAATTATCTGTATTTTTACATTCTACTGTTAGTGTTTAGTGTTACCTGTATGCACCATGGGTCTGAGAGTTACGCAATTTCAATTCTCTGATGTATGTGCTGTATATGTGGCAGAATTGACAATAAAGCAGACTTTGACAACTTTTTGACAATTTCAAGTTAATAATGGAGAAATATAAAATTATCCATTTAAAGTTATGATTCTGTATATATAGAAACAGTATATTTTAAGTTTATTGCAAAATATGCATGTGTATATTCAAAGTGTTTTGAAAGAGCGACACCCTAGCAACCACCCTGGGCACCCTAGCAACCGCATAGCAACACCCTAGCCACCAACCTTGGGTACCTTAGCAAATGCATAGCAACACCTTAGCAACCACCCTGGGCACCCTAGCAACCGGATAGCAACACCCTAGCAACCGCCCCGGGTACCCTAGCAACTGCATAGCAACACCTTAGCAACCGCCCCGGGTACCCTAGCAACCGCATAGCAGCACACTAGCAACCGACCCAGGAACCTTAGCAACCACATATCAACACCCTAGCAACTGCCCCGGGTACCCTAACAACCGCCTTAGTAACCACCCCAAGTACCCTAGCAACCGCAAAGCAACACCCTAGCAATCATCCAGAGTACCTTAGCAACCACATTGCAACACCCTAGCAACCGCCTAGAATACCCTAGCAACCACTCTGAGGTCCTTAGCATCGATCTATCTATCTTATCTATCTTATCTATCTATCTATCTATCTCTGACAGACTGTATTGCTTTCAAAACATTCAAACTTTAAGCTTTTAAAACTACTTTAAACTTCAAACTATTTCTGACTAAAAACCATAAAACTTAAATCTTTTTTAAACTTTTTCAAACATTCTGGTCGGCTTTCTCAAGCCAACTTAAAGTTTGTCTTGACAAACTTTTTTTATCTTGATTCCATAATTTCCGGTGCATCACAGCAGAGCTTAGCACTACTTTGATTTGCTCGCTGCGACTCTCTGATTGGTGGAATTCTCTTTACAGCATCATGGGTAATGTAGTTTTTTCCATAGGGAAAATCATAGAGAAAATGAATGGCATTTTTACATCCGGACCCGACTGTTGCGCTCTGTTAGCTATAGATGGGCACTGAAGGAGGGATCAGTATATTATAGAGACCTGAGACTGAGCCTGTAAGAGCTCTGTGTGTTTTATTTTCTCATTGTGTCCTTGAAAGCCAGACTGCATCCTCACATCAACTCCACACACACACACACACCCAGCTCTGTCCTGAGGCCGCTGTCTTTCCCTGTCTGTGTCTAATCGAGTTCATCACGCTGTCTGATCAGGAACGCAGGACATTGGGAATCGTCTGCCAGCATGTGAACAGGAGCATGCTGAGGACATGAGCCGCTACCTTCGCTGACATTAAATCAAGCTTAACACACACTTGGATTAAGGCTTTAAACACTCTGTCTGTATTTAAAACACTGTTTAATGTGCTATTGCATAGACATATTTGAGGAGCAAAGCAGAAAGCAGATCAGATTTTAGATGTAGTTTATTATATTTAGATTTTGCTCGGATGGTCTGTTGATCAAAATAACAAGCTTAGTGTTTATTTTGGTTGCAGGCATGTCCTGTACCCCAGCACGAGAGAGAGAAGAGCGTTCATTGTTCTGGATGTGCTGTAGTTGAAATCACATGGTTGTAGAAACATTTTTAGAAATGTTATTTGCTCAGCTCTTCGCCGTGTTGTTTCAGGGTAAAGCAGCTGATATCCCATCAGATGACAGACAGAGGAACACACTCGCACTCATCCAGCACTGGCCTGGAACATGATGATCACTTCTGATTAAACCGCTCATCTCCCCTTTGCTGTCTTTATCATTCAGGATAAACATAATACTAATATGATTTAGCGATCTGAAAAGCTTGCATATTTAGAAACCGAAAGGGAAAAAAAACTATTTTTTATTATAAATGATTAAAATAGTAATGTACTAACTAGTGGTTAAAATTTTGGGGTCAGTAAAATGTTTGTTTTTGAAAGTCTCTTCTGCTCACCAAGGCTGCATTTATTTGATCAAAAATACAGTAAAAAACAGTAAAATGGTGAAATATTTTTGCCAATTAAAAGAAGTATTTTCTATGCAAATATATGTTAAACTGTAATGTATTTCTGTGATGCGCAGCTGTATTTTCAGCATCATTACTCCAGTCTTCAGTGTCACATGATCTTCAGAAATCATTCTAATATGCTGATTTGCTGCTCAAGAAACATTTCTGATTATTATCAATGTTGAAAACCTCCATTTTTCAAACTTTATTTGAAATAGAATCTTTTGTAACATTATAAATCTCTTTTGATCAGTTTAATGCATCCTTGATGAATGAAAGTATTCATTTAAAATATCTTTTAACCCCAAATGGAGTTGAACATTCAGTCTGATTATATGAAAATACCCATTTCAAAAGAATGATTCAATCACTGATCTGGTTATTGAGTTCAGTTCACTGAATGGTGAATCTAAATAGTCATTATGAACTTATGAGCTGCGTGAAGACTCCTCAAAAACTCTCCTTTTATGTTCCACATAATAATATCACCGTGAGTAAATAGTGACATTTTGGGCGAGCCATTGCTTGCACATTTCTGTTTCTAGATGAACGTGTGTTTATTTCTGTCTGTATGCTCAGTGCTGCTGGAGGGGAGATTTTTAACCAGTGTGTGGCAGACCGAGACGAGGCCTTCAAAGAGGAAGACGTGAAGAGGCTGATGAAGCAGATCCTGGAGGGAGTTTCCTTCCTTCACAGGAACAACGTGGTGCATCTGGACCTCAAAGTACATCAATCACACTTGCTTGAAACTGCTATGCTGAAATCACTCAAATCAATCACATTTAGTGAATCTGACTTTCATGGCTAAATCAGTAAAAGTGTCAGGGTGGGCTAAATACATTTGCTTTATTCACCAGAGCTACAAGTGAATAATTATTTCACCATTATGATTATAGGTTTCTCTGAGCAGTTTCTTTATTGCTTGGCAGTTTTCCTGAGTGTTTTTCTCCTTCAGCCTCAGAATATCCTGCTGACCAGCGAGTCTCCTCTCGGGGATATAAAGGTGGTGGATTTCGGCCTGTCGAGGCTGGTGAGCAGCAGTCAGGAGATCAGGGAGATCATGGGCACACCGGAGTACGTGGGTAAGAGCCAAGCCCAGATCAGATTCACACATCATAGACAGCGCCTAAATAAAGCAAGAAGCCGTGGTTTACAGTGAATTTATAACCGCTAAGGGGCGTTGTTAGGCACGATGCGAAGCGGAGCTTTTATAAAACGGTTATTCCATATACGTAGTAAGGTTTCACAAAATAAAACGGAGCAAATAAAGTGTAATGATATGAATATCACAGTATTCTTCCACCAAACAATGTAGCTCCTCAGAAACAGTTGTGGTTGCTACAAAGTGGTTGCCGAGTAACACACAAACATAAACAAAGGTGTATGTTACTTTGTAGAGTATTTTACAACAGCTTCGAACACGGCTCAGCCAATCAGAATCAAGCACCAGAACTCTCCGTGTTATAAAATAGCATTTTAACACACCTGTGGCCGGTAACCAATATTATTTACTAGATGCGGAACTGAACATGCATTATTTTATAAAAAAAAATATTCTTCTTAAAAATAATAATAATAATAAAATAAATATCACTATAATACAATTGGACTGTGTAGTTAAATTTTATTCATAAAGTTAATACATTTTAAAGTAAATAAATTAAACTGAGCATAAAGAATTTTGTTTATAATAATAATTATTATTTTTATTATTTATTTTAAAAACATAAATATTAGTATTGAAATTGTGCAATTGATCTATATATCTCAACAGTACAATTACAATACTAATATTCACTCATTCATTCATTCATTCAAACATTAAATCATAGAGCTTTTATTTTGGTAGAAAACTGCGAGGAATTGCAGATTTATGAACGCATTTCATTATAAAGTTGGGAAGATGTTTGGCGCGTGTTGCATTTTCAAATGCATGTTATAAGCAATCTATATTATTGAATTTACTCTGATCCGAGTGGCTTACATGAAACCTCACAACACAGGGAATCTGATTACATATTTATATCATTACAATGCAGTCTTTGTGGATTGACAATCGTGCTAAACCATATCACATTCTAAGGATAATCAATAAAAATATACTCACCTCACATACTCACTCTTCAGACTGATTTTTACTCATGTGTGGCACTTGGTGAGTGTCCTGATCATATATACTGTACATACACTACCAGTCAAATGTTTGGACATACTGGACTGAACTTACTGTATGTAAATGATTTGTTTTATCATTCCAGCACCAGAAATCCTGAATTATGAGCCAATCAGCACAGCGACTGACATGTGGTGAGTTATTTTCCCACATTACCATGTTTCACGTTAGGATCCTCATCTGTCCTCCTGAAGGTCAATGTTACACAATAAATACTTCTCTGGCCTCAAGTGTAATTGTGTGTTTTCCTCTGAACAAGCAGTTTATTCACTGTTTAAAGGCACTCGCACCATCACTGGTTCAGTGTGTTGGCAAGAACATTTATATCCTTAAGTCTTGTATCAACAGTGCTGCTTTGAGAAGAGTCTGTTTGGGGGAGTCCAAAAGAAAGAGAAGAGCACCAGTTTGCTTTTCATGCACTGTATAGCCTATTATCATCTGAAGCCATTCCATATCTTAATGTGAGGGACAGAATTTAGGTTTACAGAAACTCATCTTCCTTCTGCTGCAGCTGTCAGTCATTCTCCGCTCAGCATTCAAACAGCACGTCACGTTCAGTTATGACAGTCAGCATAAAACTCTCTCTCCAAGATTATATATTCCCATTATAATGCTTTAAGTTTAAGGAAGGAAGGAATTATCACAAACAGAAAGATTATTATTAGAAGAATATATGATTTCTATCTTATATTCATGAATGTATTTTGTAAGAATACAAATAGTTAACAGAATAAACATGTTTAAATTGTATAATGTGCACCAAAGATTTTTTTTTTCAAGATATTGTTTTTGCTGCTAAATTATACAGTCAGCTAGTTTAATTTCATAGCTTATATATTTTTATTCAGATGTAGTTTTTCTCTGTAATGAGGAAGTGAGTATTTAATGGATTGCATTTAACAAAGGGTTTAAAAGGGTGACCATTAGTTCCACAAACACAGTATTGATATTCTGTAGTGGTGTAGAAACAAAATAGCGCTGGTATTGGCCGATTCTTAGAATTTGGAATACTCAGTAATCTTACACTGCAAAATAATAACTCAAAAAGATTGAAAGATAACATCATAATTATTTACTGAACCCTTAAATTAATCACAATTATATAATGAAAGCCATAAAAACAGACAATTAATCGTGATAATCGCCAAAGCCCTAAAATAGACAATTAATCGCAATAACCGTGACTATTTTTAGACAATTCGTCAGCCAAATTTCATAATCGTGACAGCCCGATCTGTTTGTCACCTATAAACAGTAGGCCTGGGAAAATAAATCGATACATCGCGAATCGAGAAATGTTTCAGCATCAATTCTGAGATTTTCCGAATGCATCGCGATTCATTCTCGAGTCGATTCTGAGCTTACTTTTGAACAGCAGATGGCGCTGCATGCTTTAGAAACAGCCGCACTCTGCTCGTTTCCAAATCCTTACCAGTGGTTGACCGATATTGTTTTTTTTTTACCGCCGATGCCGATATCTTGGAAAGCAGGATGGCCGATATAAAGCCAATATAATTATTTATTTTAATTAATATTTAATAAATTTGAAATCATTTGAAAAATGGATTAAAAAATAAAGGTGAAACATTTATACTTTAGATGACAAAGTATTTTTCACAAATAAATAAATATATTTAATAAAAATATAATTAAAAAGGAAGTAAACACTGTAATCAACAGGGCACTCAGTATTCTGGGAAGCTTGTGTGCATTGGGAATAATTTTTTTTTTTTCAAATATATGCACACAGTGAAAATGACATCATCAAAATAAAAGTTCGAACACATCGGCCAAACAGAAAAACTTATCGGCCGATGCCGATATTTGAAAAATGCCAAATATCGGCCGATATATCGATCGACCACTAACCCTTACACACACACAAACCTAAAATAATCATTCATAAAATTCAAAAAGGTTAACGCGAAATACAAGGGTGTTCACCGTGTTTACATTAATCTGGCGTCATAAAAGCATTCTGAGCCGAGGTGAAATTACAAACTCAGCAAACGCACAAACACTCTTCTTCATGAGTATTTGAGTGTGCGGATAAAAACTAGATTAGAGCGCCATCTGCTGTTAAAATCTAAGCTCAGAATCGACTCGAGGAGAATCGCGATGCATTCAGTTTATTTTCCCAGCCCTACTGTTTATAGGTGACAAACAGACTCTTCTCAAAGCAGCATAAAAATCAGATTAAAATCTAAGCTCAGAATCGATTCCAGAGAGAATCGCGATGCATTCGGAAGACCTCAGAATCCATTCACGAATTTATCATTTTATGATTTATCATTGCAGCCCTAATAAACAGGTGTGTTGTGTTAGCTTGAGCATGCGGCTCCTCTGTCTGACAGGAGCATTGGTGTCCTGGCATACGTGATGCTGACGGGGATCTCGCCGTTCCTGGGGGACGATAAGCAGGAGACCTTCCTCAACATCTCTCAAATCAACATCAGCTACACTGAGGAGGAGCTGCAGCATCTGGACAGAGCTGCCATCCACTTCATCAAGAGCCTGCTCATCAAAGAGCCAGAGTAAGACCGGCGAGAGAGAGTCAAGACATTCAAAGATTCATATAAACACTGTTGAACTTTCCATTCATCATGAAAAATAAAATGCATGCCTGTTTCCACAAAAGTATTAAGCAGCACAACTGTTTTCCACATTGATAATAATCAGAAATGTTTCTTGAGCAGCAAATCAGCATATTAGAATGATTTCTGAAGATCATGTGACACTAAAGCTGTATTTTCAGCATCATTACTCCAGTCTTCAATCACAGAAATAAATTACAGTTTAACAGATATTCACATAGAAAACCGCTATTATACGTTGTAATAATAGTATTTCACAATTTCACTAGGGATGCACGATATTATCGAGCCACAGCGCTGCAGCGCCATCTAGTGGCTTCAACTGGATAGGCTAACAAAAACATTATAATGCAGCGACACTTACATCGTCATCACATCTCGTGCGCCGCTGATAAGGCTGCCTCCTTAACGCGCACCTAAAATTCTGTGGATTTTTATTTTAAATTCGACGAATATTCAAAATTCTAATTTTTATTTATTTTTTTGACAGCCCTACCACAAACCCAAATAGGGCTCAGGTGCAGGACAAAAAAGTCAAACTAAAGCGAAAAACAAACGTGATGTCTGCACACTAATATAACTGCTCCATAAAATTATTTTATTGCAAAAAAAATAATTTTATGGAGCAGTTGTGCAGACATCACGTTTGTGTTTGGCTTAAATGTACCGTCCCTCCCACAGACGCTGCATTAGAAACACCCTCGCATTAGCGTTCACTAGTTTTTTTTGTAATTTGATGCACAGCTGATATAATACAAAGTACTGTACAGTAGAGCTGTCAAAAAAAAAATTTCAAATTTCGAATATTCGTCGAATAAAAAAAAATAAAAATCTACATTCGAATGCAAAAACGTTGCATTCGAACTTAAGGTCTGCGTCAGCCGTCAGGCAGCTTATCAGCGGCGCACGAGAAAGATAGTCGTGTTATTTTATTACGCTTTGAAGAAGCGTGCATAATATTGCCAAAAGCTTTTTTCCCCCTAACTGAAATTATGCCTTTTAAATTCAAATATAATTCGAAGTTTGATATTTAAGTAGAAAATTAGAATTTAGTTTTTCAGTCATTTTGACAGCCCTAGTGTACAGTGTTAACAGAGGCGGACAGTAGTGAAGTATTTTTACTTTGCTTTAAAAGTACTTTTCAAGTGTCTGTACTTTATCAGTGTTTTTCTTTAGAAAACTTTACTTCACAACACTAAAGCATAATATTGTGTTTCATATTAAATATCATTTAATACTTAATTACATTAGAAATCTATGACTTTCTTTTACTCAAGTAAAAGCAATTCAAAGATGTACTTTAGTACAAGAAAGTACTACATTATTAATGTTCTTGAGTATTAAAGGTGAAACAAACAACAACTTGTATTTATGAAATGTAGTGCAGTAAAAAGTATGGCATTATGCTTGGGAATGTAAGTTTTCCAAAATGTACTCGAGTAAAGTAAAAATACTTCTCTACTGTCCGCCTCTGAGTGTTATAAATGTACACACATTTTTTAGAAATCAAAATATGCGACCCTGGACCACAAAACCAGTCATAAGGGTCAATTTTGTGAAATTGAGATTTATGTATCATCTGAAAGTTGAATAAATAAGTTTCCATTGATGTATGGTTTGTTAGGATAGGACAATACTTGGCTGAGATACAACTATTTGAAAATCTGGAATCTGAGGGTGCAAAAAAATCTAAATATTGAGAAAATCATCTTTAAAGTTGTCCAAATGAAGGTCTTAGCAATGCATATTACTAATCAAAAATTAAGTTTTGATATATTTTGTAAATGTCCTACCGTAAATATCTTCATGGAACATGATCTTTACTTAATATCCTAATGATTTTTAGCATAAAAGAAAAATCTATAATTTTGACCCATACAATGTATTGTTGGCTATTGCTACAAATATACCCCAGCGACTTAAGACACAAGCACATTTATAAAACATTCGAGGATTACGAAGCTGATGACCATTAAACGCATCATCTCAGTCCATTCCTTAGTACAGGTTTGTCTGAGCAGCTTTGTGAACAGGTTTTAAGAGAGAGCTCTTTAACAGATGAGGTGTTTTGTGATGTTGCTGTTGTTTGCGCAGGAGCCGAGCCACCGCAGAAGACTGTCTGAAGCACCAGTGGCTCCAGCCGGAGGAGGCCTGTCTGGAGAGCGTCTCGGAGCCCGTCGGTCCTGCCGATGAAGACGACGAGGAGGAGGAGGAGGAGGAGGAGGAGCTGATCGTGATGGCTGCTTACACCATGGGCCAGTGCCGCCAGTCCTCCGATGAACCGAGTCTGACCCCGGATCAGAAGGCCATCTCCAAACGCTTCAAGTTCGAGGAGCCCTTCTCTGCGCGGCCTGGAGAGTTCATCTACTGATGCACACTTCTGTCCTTCTGTCTCTGCGCTTCTCTCTCCTCATGATTTCAGTTGTAAGCCAAACCGTTTCTGTTTCACTGGTTGCTCTTGTTTCGGTTTGTGCTGCTTTATATTTTCACGGTTAAGATACTGAAGCCTTGCTGTGGTTCTCTCCTTCTTTGGTGCCATGCTTACATACTCAATAAGGGTCAGGCTTGTAGTCGTTCCTTTTCGCCGTGTTTGTGCAAAATGAATGTTGTGTGTTTTTCTGCGACACGAGGGCAAGCAGAATTAAATGTAAATTAACCCAGTTTTATTTTAAGAGTATTTCCGTGTCATGTTTAAAAAAAAGCCATTTTGTATGTTGAGCTCCTGGCTGACGTTAAGGTCTTTCCCGGATAAATATTTCACAGCAATAACACTTCCATTCACACGCATATATATATATATATATATGAAGAGCGTGTGTCTTTCTGTGTGTTTATTTTAACTCATGTTAGAGTTATAACTGTAAATTGATTTGTCACTGTAAAGAATATTTTTAAGTGACTGTCTTGATGCTGTAAATAAAAGTTTGTCTCGACTGTCGCTGTCTGCCTTTATTATTGTTGTTGTTATTAATACTTCATCTAAATAAAAACTAAAATATGGCATGCTTTAATCCTGAAGTTGATCCATCAGGTTGTGCTTTGAAAAGCCAAAAGAAGGCAGTAATTTAAGCATTTAACAATACCTACGAAGCATTTTTAAGATAATTATTGGAGTTTTTTCTTTTAATTATCTTGGTCCTTAATTGATCTAATTGTCAATTCAAGTCTTTAAGGCATTTGTTTATGAAAAATATGTGTATAAATCTCTGAGGGAAAATTAAACTTTTTTTTACAGTTCAATCAATTGCATTCATATCATTAAAGAAAGCTTCTATTTAAAAACCTTCAAAGCCCCGCCCTAAACTCACGCGATTGGCCGAGAGCTTCCTGCTAAAGTTCTGATTGGCTAACTTTGTGCTCTGTAACCAAAGAGTGATTTCTCTAGATACCTGTATCTGTCAGCTAGTAGGGATATTTATGAGTAGATATCATCAAAATCATCATCTTCCAATAATAAAGACCCATGTCTTTCTAACATACATACAGACATTTATGTGTTTATTTATTTCTGAGAGCATTCATTTTTACCTTCATTGTAAACCTTGATAGCAAAATGTTCTATTTTTTTTATTACATAATACGAATATTAATACAACATACAAATATAGAGGATCACAGCGTTTTTAACTAATATCAGTTACATTCATAATAGCTTCAAAGGAACAAACGGGAAAAAGGAAGGAAAGAAGAAACGGGATAAAATTATTTACATCCTTTTTGCTTTTGTATTTCTTAGATCGTTTAAAGCTTCAGTGTAATGCTCAAGTTCAATTTTAAATAATGTAATTTTAGGTTTATTATTAGACCATTTTTGTTTGTGTAAATGGCATTTCCCATACATAATTATTAAATAAATCACCAAATTGTGCTCCAAATTATTATTTCTATACAACAAAAAGATATCTTTAGTAACAAGTACAACTTTAGTTTGGCGCCCTCTGCTGGGTGACTGCGTAATTGTTTTACTGATTTTTATTTATTTATTTGTTCTTCTTTATTTTTAACATGCATATACATTAAACTATCGATACAAGTGTTTTAGAATATTATGGAACTTTAAAAAACGTAAACAATGAAATAATCTGTATTAAACTGGCTTAGCATGTGTATGATTAGCGCATATTACAAATAAATAGCACTGATGAGGCTAACATTACATACCTCGCTCAGGACGGACTACAATGTAGCATGTGTAAAAGTATAAATAAGACGATGCGTATTATTATTATTATAGTATTGCTAGCACTGTATTTACTGTTTATTATCATTTATTACATTTTGTGATTTATTATATTGATTATATTAACATTTGAAGCAATAACAAACACTATAATTAATATATATATATATATATATATATATATATATACACTGATATTGCAGTGTTTTTTGGACATGCACCATGATAATTCCATAATTCCATGTTGTGTTTTTTCTCTAGTAATCCTTACACAAAAGTACTGTCAGTGTTATTTTATTATTATTTATTTGCTAATAGGCTATATTTGTCACTAACTTTTTAAATTAATTCTTTATTTTAATATTTTCTCTCTTTTTTTGTTTGTTTAAATTTTAGTTTAAGGTTTACTCATTTTGTGATGTGATTTTGTGATTTTTATCATTAGTTTGTTTTATATATTTCTATATAGCTTCAGTTTTAGTTTTCGTATTTTTATCATCAAATCAAACTTATTTTATTTCAGTTAGTGGCTAAGGCAACAAAAATAGGTTTTTCATTTAATATTTATATTTTATATAATTTTGTTTTTGATATTTTATTAGCTTTTATACTTATATAGCTTTATATAGGTGGTTGTCCTGCATCTTCAATAAACAAGCTTCAGGTAGTCCAAAATGCAGCGGCTAGAGTCCTTACCAGGTCAAGAAAATATGATCATTTTACCCCAATTTTACAGTCTCTGCACTGGCTACCTATTAAGTTCTGTATCAGTTACAAAATATTATTACTTACCTACAAGGCCCTTAATGGGTTAGCTCCTGCGTACCTAACTAGTCTTTAATTGCTGTTAATAGTGTTCATCGTCTGTTTGATTACGTCTTTAATTGATTTTTCCGTACATTTCTGCCATATGTACATTGACAGTCACCACTGATAAGCTACCACTAAATATTGTACAAACTTAATTTGCTGTAAAGTTGCTTTGCAATGATTTGTATCGTGAAAAGCACTGTACAAATGAACTTGAACTTCAATTTATTTTTATTTTAGTTTTAGTAAATTTCATTTAGCTGCTAAGGAAATTATAAAATTATCATTAATTTGTTTAGGTTTTTCATTTATTATTTATATTTTATGTCATTTTTGGTATGTGCTTGTGCCATTTGTATTTAATTTAATTATATTTCAATGTAGCTGTCATGGAATCGGGTGTGGAGGCAGGCAGGACGACAAGGATTCCAATAATGACATTTATTGTAGACACAACAAGGCAGGTTCAGGTAGGTGAGACACACACTCGGGGTAACATTAACAATAACCGACACCAATGCTCAGACAGACAGGAACTAATATGGGGTGAATAATTAGAGGCAGACAGGTGAGCACAATGACGGTGATTAACTAATGATTAGACGGGCTAAACCAACACAAAGGGAAGAAACCACAACAAACAGTCCACAGGGGCGTTACAGTAGCTTTAATTTATTTTTATTTTAGTTTTAGTAATATTAGTATGTCAAATTAAACTTATTTTATATAGTTAGTTGCTAAAGCAAGATTTCTAATTTTCATCATTTATTTATTTATTTTTAAGTATAAGATTTTCATCTAATGTTTATATTTGATTTTATTTCATTTGACGGAAATTATTTGTAATAGTTAACAATAACACCAGATTTTGTAGTATAGTATAGTTATGGTATCAGTGATGCTAATGTTTAATGTTGCTAATATACTGTAGATATAAACAATCCCTGTATCACTCTACCAGCACCAGATAATCCCATAGTATTACCATGTGTTACTGTGGTTAGTTACTGTGTGTTTTCTCCATCAGGTGGTTCAGTCTGCGGTGAAGCAGGAGAAGCAGGTGAGCAGCAAGAGCACTCCGACAGACCTGGTGACGGAGGCAGACCATCAGGTGGAGGAGCTCATCATCTCCACGCTCAGGGAGCAATACCCCTCACACAGGTACAAACACACACAAACACCCCTCACACAGGTACAAACACACTCAAACACCCCTCACACAGGTCCAAACACACTCAAACACCCCTCACACAGGTCCAAACACACTCAAACACCCCTCACACAGGTCCAAACACACTCAAACACCCCTCACACAGGTCCAAACACACTCAAACACCCCTCACACAGGTCCAAACACACTCAAACACCCCTCACACAGGTCCAAACACACTCAAACACCCCTCACACAGGTCCAAACACACTCAAACACCCCTCACACAGGTCCAAACACACTCAAACACCCCTCACACAGGTCCAAACACACTCAAACACCCCTCACACAGGTCCAAACACACTCAAACACCCCTCACACAGGTCCAAACACACTCAAACACCCCTCACACAGGTCCAAACACACTCAAACACCCCTCACACAGGTCCAAACACACTCAAACACCCCTCACACAGGTCCAAACACACTCAAACACCCCTCACACAGGTCCAAACACACTCAAACACCCCTCACACAGGTCCAAACACACTCAAACACCCCTCACACAGGTCCAAACACACTCAAACACCCCTCACACAGGTCCAAACACACTCAAACACCCCTCACACAGGTCCAAACACACTCAAACACCCCTCACACAGGTCCAAACACACTCAAACACCCCTCACACAGGTCCAAACACACTCAAACACCCCTCACACAGGTCCAAACACACTCAAACACCCCTCACACAGGTCCAAACACACTCAAACACCCCTCACACAGGTCCAAACACACTCAAACACCCCTCACACAGGTCCAAACACACTCAAACACCCCTCACACAGGTCCAAACACACTCAAACACCCCTCACACAGGTCCAAACACACTCAAACACCCCTCACACAGGTCCAAACACACTCAAACACCCCTCACACAGGTCCAAACACACTCAAACACCCCTCACACAGGTCCAAACACACTCAAACACCCCTCACACAGGTCCAAACACACTCAAACACCCCTCACACAGGTCCAAACACACTCAAACACCCCTCACACAGGTCCAAACACACTCAAACACCCCTCACACAGGTCCAAACACACTCAAACACCCCTCACACAGGTCCAAACACACTCAAACACCCCTCACACAGGTCCAAACACACTCAAACACCCCTCACACAGGTCCAAACACACTCAAACACCCCTCACACAGGTCCAAACACACTCAAACACCCCTCACACAGGTCCAAACACACTCAAACACCCCTCACACAGGTCCAAACACACTCAAACACCCCTCACACAGGTCCAAACACACTCAAACACCCCTCACACAGGTCCAAACACACTCAAACACCCCTCACACAGGTCCAAACACACTCAAACACCCCTCACACAGGTCCAAACACACTCAAACACCCCTCACACAGGTCCAAACACACTCAAACACCCCTCACACAGGTCCAAACACACTCAAACACCCCTCACACAGGTCCAAACACACTCAAACACCCCTCACACAGGTCCAAACACACTCAAACACCCCTCACACAGGTCCAAACACACTCAAACACCCCTCACACAGGTCCAAACACACTCAAACACCCCTCACACAGGTCCAAACACACTCAAACACCCCTCACACAGGTCCAAACACACTCAAACACCCCTCACACAGGTCCAAACACACTCAAACACCCCTCACACAGGTACAAACACTCAAACACCCCTTTACTAGGGCTGCACGATATATCGAAATATCGCAAATGCAAATATCGCAATATGCATATCGCAAGGACGTGCGATATCTGAATCATTTTAATAATAGGATACTTAAATCAAAATGTTGCAAAAGGTCAAAGTTTTAGTTCGACGCATATAGCAGAGAATTGCTTGACGTTAAAAATCGTTAAGTGCAATAAGTTGCAGAAAACAACTCTTTGCCGTCTCGTCTTGCTGTCTGACTCACACCTGAAGCGCGCGCACAAGCTGCATCTCGCGCAGCGTATCTTCAGTTCTGCAGCACACCTGCAAAGCGCGCGCGCACACAGAGAGAGACACGTTTCAGACGGCGCACGAACACCGAGTTGATTCATCTTTCGCATCTCCTCATGTTTGAACAGACACATACACACAGAATTATGTCAATAGTACCCGTCTCAACGATCATTCTTGTAAACGCAGTCAGTTATGTTTTAAATGAATGTAAACGGCTGAGAAAGAAATCGGATGTGTATCATTATACTGGATCCGTGCAGTCGGATTTAAAGGGACAGCAGCCTATAAATATGTGCTGCTGAATATGTCACTAATGTTAATCAAACAACAAAACAGCTATAACAAAGATTAATCTACTTTTAATTGATACAGTGAACACAATGCAGTGTTATTTTACACTTAATCATTACATTTCTGTACCTGAATACTACTGTTTATTTTATCCATGCTTGTAAATTGTGTATTTCCTTTTTTTTCCATTTTTTAACAAGGTATCGCATATCGCATTTTTCTTCAATATCGCACAGCCCTACCCTTTACCGTTGCTCACTGGCTCTGAATACACAGACAAGCCATGGGTCACAGGAGGGTGGGATGTTGATCAGTACTGGCAGTGAAGCATCCCGCACACACACGAGTCTCGACCTATATGTGGCGGGGCGGTGCAATTTTGAGGCACCAGCCCAAAATCAAAAAAATACAAATGTTTATTAATACAGAAATGGGTTAAAATATTGGACACTAAAATCAACAGAGAGCACTAGAAGCCCGACTTCAAACAAGAAAAAAACAAATTACAACCAGAAGAGTAGTAATAATATAAACCAACTTTATATATACACACATGTAACAAGTCGGTATATCTGTAAAACAAAACAAACTGAAATACCGGCAGGGCTGAGGTTCCAACTGAATTTATAAAAATGACCCCGTTCAAAAGTTTACACACCCTTGAATCTTAATACTGCGTGTCATTTCCTGGATGATCCACGACTGCTTTTCTGTTTAGTGATAGTTGTTCATGAGTCCTGCGTTTCTAAACTAATTTAAGAAATTATATAAATGTCATATACTATAAATATATAATAGATTCATATAATATAATATAATATATAACATGACCCTTTAAGACTTGCACGCTGTTTTCTAACCGTTTGTTTTCTATATATAAAAAAATACCTTTAACACTAGCTTTCTCTATTTGTTTTCTATTCTATTTATCTGTTTTATTTTTATCTATTATATAATTAACAATAAAAAAACCTTGCTATGTGTGCTGTGTTTGGTTAACTGAGACTTGTTTGTATCATTTGTAAGTCGCTTTGGATGAAAGCATCTGCTAAATGACTAAATGTTAATGTAATGTAAATGTAAATCTCAATTTATTGACCTGTTTTTGCTGCTAGCCTTTAATATTTAAACTCCACCATACAAAACAGTGTCCGACTGATCCAGCATCAGCTCTCTAACACTTAAATGTGACCCTGGAGCACAAAGCCAGTCATAAGTAGAACAGATATATTTGTAGCAATAGCCAACAATACATTGTATGGGTCAAAATTATAGATTTTTCTTTTATGCCAAAAATCATTAGGATATTAAGTAAAGATCATGTTCCATGAAGATATTTAGTAAATATCCTATTGTAAATATATCAAAACTTAATTTTTGATTAGTAATATGCATTGCTGAGAACTTCATTTGAACAACTTTAAAGATGATTTTCTCAATATTTAGATTTTTTTTGCACCCTCAGATTCCAGATTTTCAAATAGTTGTATCTCAGCCAAATATTGTCCTATCCTAACAAACCATACATCAATGGAAATATCATTTATTCAGTTTTCAGATGATGTATACATCTCAGTTTAAAAAAATAGACTCTTATGACTGGTTTTGTGCTCCAGGGTCACATATAGTCAGTGTGTGATGTAAAGGTCAGGATTTGACCTTTGACCCGCAATGTGAGGGTCATCGGCAGCTCGACGCTAGCACTCTGTCACATCACCAGCGGCGCGGCCGAGGCCTATTATCAGTACGGTCTGCACTGCTGGGACATCGCAGCGGCCGCCGTCATCATCAGAGAGGCCGGCGGATACGTCATCGACACCACAGGTCAGTCACACTCACAGATCGACTTCTGCATGTGTTCACAGTCTTCTGGAGACACTACTCGATGCAAGATTCCCCTTTCTGTCAAACATATTTTATTGGACTGTCCCGCTTTTAATGTATGTAGAAAACTCTTTTATGAAGTGAACTCACTTAAAGAGTTATTTAGTATCATTTTGCCAGAAAAAGTTTTAGAATTTTTGTCATATGTTAATATAAAAAATATTGTTTGTTTGTTTGCTGGTTTTTATTGTATTTGTTATACTTAAATTGTTTTTGCCATGAAAATAGCCTAAGATGCTGACATGGCATTAAATCAAAACATACTACTACTACTCAGTATGTTCTGGATGCAGAACATAATAATGCTGTTATCAATCAGGAGTGTGTTTAATTCATAATGTAGGATTTTAAACAATAAGGGCTTTATTGAATATCTGGATGGTTGATTTGGGATTATTATTTCATTATGAATGTTGAACTTGAAGGTGTTGGGCTGCGTGAAACTTCAGTAACTAAACTGAATGAGGATTTGGGTGAGCACATGATGAAAATCTAAACATTTACATGATATTTCATACATAGTTTAGTATTTGTATATAAACTGTAACTAAATCTGTAGTCGTAAAAGGATATTTATACTGTAGGATGTTAGTGTAGCTCAAAATGTTCTTTATACAGTGCCCTCCACTAATATTAGTAAATATGAACAAAGGCGGCTGTGAAAATAAATCTGCATTGTTTATCCTTTTGATCTTTCATTAAAAAAAATCACAAAATTCTAACCTATTATTGAAGTAAAACAAGTGGAAGTGGGGAGAAAATCTCATGATGAAATAAATGTTTTTCTCTAATGCATGTTGGCTACCATTATTGGCACCATTTGAAATTCTTATGAGTAAAATATCTCTGAAGTATATTCCCATTCATATTTAATTTTTTTTTTTTTACATTTACAACCAAGCCGTTCACACAGAACACATACTTTACGCATTTTCTAGAGGGACATCTATCAGCGTTGCACTCGCATCTCGTTGTCTTATGCTTTGAATAAACGTGCATTAGTAATATTTTGCACGATGCGCCCTCTTGTGGCCTCAGAAGAGAAGCCAAAATCTTTTCTTCACCCTAGCTGAAATTATGCATTTTAAATTCGAATATAATTCGAATTTTGATAATATTTGATATAATCACGGTTAAATATTCTGTTGGATCTTTAATGTTGTGGGTCTGTTTTTCTGCTGGCATACAAACCAAAAAATATAAAAAATTATTAAAAAATACATCTGTTTTGTCTTTTTTGACTTTTAAAGTGTTTTACACAACAGATTACAAAATGCATGCTTTAAAAAGTCATTTGTGATGCATTTCATTAAATTACTTGAGTTTAGTAACTGTCTTCTGCATTTTATTTTTAGCAACATCGGACAGTATATAAAGAAAAAGTTTTAATGTACCAATCAAAACAAAGTAAATATTAATTAACTCATTAAGATCATTAAATGCCATCTCAATATAAATATACTCAAAGTGTTAATTGGTTGCTAATTAAACAGCCTACAGGTGTTTTGTATAGAGTCAGAGCTGGAGAGTCAGCAGGTGCTTCGGTAGTTAACTCGTGTTGTTGGTCTGTGCAGGAGGCGCGCTCGACCTCATGTCCAGACGTGTTGTGGCCGCTGGCACGCGTGAGATCGCAGACTATGTGCTCAAGCAGCTGCAGCCGATAAACTACAGCCGCGATGACCTGCCGTGACCTCTGACCCCATCCTAAGCCTTTTACCTCAGAACACGCCACAATCCTGCCACTGCAGTGTCCTTCAACGCTACATTCACATTTCTATCGGTTTAACATCGTCTGATTTGTGTTTTAAGTCACGGCGTATGTTTGAGTGATTCATTTCTGGATGAACACAAAGATAAATTGTGACCCTGGAGCACAAAACCAGTCATAAGGGTCAATTATTTGCTGAATAAATAGCTTTCCATTGATGTATGGTTTGTTAGGATAGCACAATATTTGGCTGAGATACAACTATTTGAAAATCTGGAATCTGAGGGTGCAAAAAAATCTAAATATTGAGAAAATCATCTTTAAAGTTGTTCAAATGAAGTTCTTAGCAATGCATATTACTAATCAAAAATTAAGTTTTGATATATTTACAGTAGGAAATTTACAAAATATCTTCATGGAACATGATCTTTATTTAATATCCTAATGATTTTTGGCATAAAAGAAAAATGCATAATTTTGACCCATACAATGTATTGTTGGCTATTGCTACAAATATACCCCAGCGACTTAAGACTGCTTTTGTGCTCCAGGCTCACATATGTGTTCAAGCATATTTAACTTGTTATATCTTGTAGTTTATTAAATTGCTTCATCCATGGAAATAGTGTTGGCTTGTTAAACACTGGGAGTCGCTTCAGATGCCTTGAAATCGCAAGGATGTTGACGAGGCAAAATTCAGCTGATTTTCAATGTTTGATTTGACATTACGAAATGGAAATATCTGCTTTTGATCAAAGAAAAGCAGCTGGTTATGATTCCTTCAGATATTACAGAAGTGAAATACACACAGCTAATCAGATCATCACTCAGGACTAGCTTATAAACGCTGGTTTTACAAACTATGCTTCATTTTAGATATAACTGAAGATTACGTAGGTTTCTATAAAATTAATCAACATTTTTTTGTCTTATTTTCAAGTAAAATATCTAAAAATCATTATCAAAAAGAAGATATTACACCTTGTTTTTGGACAATGTGAAATATTATTACAGTTTGAAATAGTTTTTTTTTTAAATTAATATTAATAATGATTTCTGAAGATCATGTGACACTGAAGACTGGAGTAATGATGCTGAAAATACAGCT